CTTGTTTTACATGAACTGGTTTGCAAAACAAACGTAGAAATGCCATTGCATATGCTTTGCAAGCTGGTTCATGTAAGCTGGAGTAATAGGTCTTAAGCTGCTTTTTCATGAAACCTACATATTAGATTCAGTTCAATACTCTGTTTAGTTTGTGTCACTGTTTTGGGAAAAACATGTAGGTAAGCACTTAAAGCAACGACAGCAGCATCCAGATGAGAAGGCTTACTGTTCTAGGAAAAGGGTGCACTGGGCAGAAACCATGACAATATAAACATACCATCTAGGGAAATGTTCTTTCTTCCAGATTTAGTAATTATGAGTTGGAAGGGAAAGAAAAAAATCAATGGGAGTGATATTTTCCTCCTCAAGTACTCAGTCTGCTAACCTAGTGCAAATTCTGCACTTGCTGGGTTTTATAGCTGTTGAGAGAACCTCAGGAGAATCACAAGGTTTCCCCATTTACCTGGCTACAATGTCAATAAGCCATGAAAACTCTGTGGCATCAGTCTTTCTGAGGCTGTTGTTTGTTAGATGGCTGCGGTGAGATGTTTTGAAGCACAGGTATATGCTGTAGATCACAAACTCTTCAATTTTATCCCTTTGCCACAATGCAGCAGGTAATTCCTGCCGCCTGCTACATTCCCATTGTCCAGATTTCTTGCTGGTTTTTGCCCTTTCTTTGTTCATTCCCTTCAGCTTCTTTCTCTCCTATTTCTCAGGCTCAGCTCCATCATCTTGTGGCACTGTTTCATTTTCTGCTCTCTTGTCCCCTTCCATCTCCAATACCTTGTGGCAGTACAGAGGCAGGAAGGTCTTTCACTCAATACTGGAGGAGAAAGGAAGAAGACAGGTGTTTACTGCCCTCACTGGTTTGTAAATTTCTCTGAGCCTAAACGCCATCTTCTTACCCAAGCCCATCCCTGACAGATAGAAAGCAGGGAATGTTGTTATTAAAAATCCCACCCTGAGGTCGGTAAATATGTAGAAATGAATTCAAAGTGATTGGATGATCAAGTTATTCTACTACACATTGAAACAAGAACTGTTTTCAAAACGTGAATCATGTCTCTCAATTTCCTAAGCCACTTTTTATCTCTTCTCAAGATACGTCTGTCAAGTAGAGCTTCAACGTGAGGCAGGAAAAAAGCACAGCAACTTATTAGTCTGCTCTGATTATTAAATGCGTAAACTAATAGCCTGATTACATGCAAAAAGTGTACTGTAAGAGATTAAAAGAAGAGGATTACATTAAATTGTAGCAGGGATTAAATATTTTTCCTAAAGGCTTTTAACACATTTTCCAAAGACGTGCTTATGAGTATGATTTCACTGATGAAAATTATTTCTTTTAGAGATAATAGACTAAATAACCAGGTAATTGAGACATGTTAAGTGTGGTGCTAGTAAGCCGATGATAGTATGTTACAGATATGCAAGAGCACCTTCTGTGAGTCACAGGTAATTTTTTTTTTATTTTTTCTTCTTCCCCTTCAGTAAATTCTATAAGATCCTAAGACTGACCTAGCAGAGTTGTATTTTGATCACACTGCAGTGGTTTCAGTGAGCTGTTAAATGGGAAAGACTATTTAAAAGCATTTAGAACAAGGAAGAGCACGCACTTGATTCAACATTAGGGAAACTGAGCCATGAAAGAGAAATTTTTTCAACATTTTCATTATAACAGTACCTAAAAGGCCACAAGTAGACGAGGCTTCCTTCAGCCAGCTGGTGTACAATAGCACCATATGTACCTTCATCAAATGCTTGTGCTCCAAGAGAGTTAATCTTGGAATAACTACTCAAGTTATTCTTAAAGCTGGGAACAGGAACTGTTTTCTTACATCAGCTCTGCACAGTAGTGCTACCCCAGAAATAGGGTCTGAGGAGGTGTGCCCCTTCCTTGTGTGAGAACTGCTTGCCTCTCATATTAGGAGGAGGAGAAAACTTGGACAGTAGCTTGGAGATGCTTTTTCTTAATTAAAAAAAAAAAAAAAGAAGGCAGCAAACAACAGTACAATGAAACAACTGGTAAGAGTATGTCCTTAAACTATCATTACATAAAGAACTATAGAAATACTGCTGAGAGTGCACATATTATACTAAATAATGAGTTTTTGCCAAGGTATAAGAAGAAAAACTTCATATTTCTTAGCAAGTAGGATCCTAATGCTAATCTGTGGGGTCCCACCAATTGCAAGGAGGCTGCTCATGAAGTTCAGAGCAGATACTGATGAGCAGATGAGGACTAAGTTGGCAGGAAGAAGGAAAAATGCTATTGGAGTGGAATCTATGTTTTGGGTAGCATCAGTTGGTTCCTGGACTGCTTTTGGAACAGAGATGGGAGTTTTAATAAAACTTTCCAGAGAACAGAACTTTAAGTGTAAACAAACAGATGTGTAGGCAATGTGTAAAAAGCCTGGAGAAATTAAATTTTAAGGATATGTTGAAATGCCTTGGTAGAATTAGCACTGTACACTAAGGAATTGGCAGCCAATTGCCAGCCAACTGTAGTGTTCTTTAGCATGTGAAGGTGTGTGAGAATCCACTTTGCATTAAAGGCTCTGCTCTGAGCCTTTTACACATGTGATGTATTCAATTAAGCAAGCAGCATTTTAAAGAGAATATTATTTGAGAATTTTGCTTGAAGATATTGGGCTGATTTGTATACAGAGCCCAATTTGAGTAAAATTTCCCTTTTTATTAAGCTTCCAAGCTCATTTAGCATTGTGAGTTTGTTTAAAAGTAGCAACATCTGTGTAGACTCCCTGCACTTTGCACTGCTCATTTCTTTAAACTTCATATGCCAGTTCAGGAGCAATAATATCAAGTGACTTCAAAGGACAACTGCTCCCAACAGTCTGCAATGGTTTATATTTCAACTCAGTAGGCAGCATAGCTCACCAGACCTGTTATTTCATTTCATGGCTTGTGCCGCTCTTTTCATGTATTGAACCCTGGTCCCAGCTCACTGCAAACTAGCATAGAATTTACTGAGGGTGAAGATGAGGAGGGAAAGGGAGATAGATGTGTATGTCTCTCTGATTTTTTAAGTAAACCTGGAAGATATTTTTCATATAATCAAGCTTTATTATCCACTGCTTATTTGTTTTTCATCTCTTGCAGCTACTTAATTTCTTCCCCCATTATTTCGTGTTTTGAAACTAAGTTTGCAGGTTGTTTGGAAAAGGATCTGTCACTGTAGGTCAGCCAACCTCTAATTGACTGGCTATGTACACTTCAGAATGAATGCTGGTAATTAATAGGTCATTCATTTTGCATTTCAGTGGTGTCCATTACTGTAAACGTATCCCCATACACCCACACCTATTTAGAGCACCAAATGATATCCCCAACAAAGTGGTTATTCAGACTGGCAGGTCTCTCACATGTGCTAAGGACTAGAAATACATTGAACTTGACATGGAGTCTTTGTTCTGATAACACTGCTCGATAGTGGATTTCTGAAACAATGTCAAGACTGGAAGGTGGGTTCCTTAGCTCATTTCAGATTTAATATAGGTGAATGTGATTGATGTCAGTGAAGCTTTGACTCCAGCCCTCATCTTCTACTGGAAATCTTGTCTTCAGACTGAGTACAGGGCTATCTGTGCAGTCAGAACTAAGCTTTAACCAGCATGCAAGCTAACAGAAGATGGTGCTTGTTGAAAGACTGAGTTCCACTTTACCAGATGCCTTCAGTTTCTTATTTTTTTTCACCATACTGTGTCACTGGCACAAGTGTTTGTGTGATTGTACATTGAGGCCCATCAGAGATTTCACCTGACTTAAAGCCAATCAGTTTTTTTTATTTGGTTTGCCATCCAGTCCCACAAACTCTTTTATAGTCACAAAAGAAAATGGCATGTAGAGCCAGAAAAATATGGGTAAGGACAGGCAAACAGACAGAACTTGGGTAGCAGTGCTTGATTATATTTGCTTAAAGGATGCCTGAAACTTAACACCTGATTCTGGTCTGATTATGTCTCTCAAACAAAACTCCCTTTGATTTCTGTAGGATTGTCTGAGAAAGGCTGGCTGCCCTCTGTTCCTGCCTCTTGCTTGAGGAAACAGATAGGATACTGAATAGTGCAATGCAGTGCTTACCTATGCTAAACAGTTCATGACGCTCTTAGTTTTGTGGGATTTTTTTTCATTATTGTTCTATTTATCTTCTTGACTGGTCTTAAGATGAGAGAAAGATTAGACTGATCTTGACTCTCCAGAAGATGGAGGTCTGGAGAGTGGAACAAAAATTACAAACCAGGTATTGCTCTGAGCTTTCACCTCTTTCTAAACAGTGCTGGAAGCTGGTGTTGATCAAGGTTTTTTTGTTTTTGTTTTTGTTTCTGCTGCTCTCACTTCCTTTCTCTCATAAATGGAAAAGAGATGAAAATCCTGCCCTTCTACCTGTGATACAGAATAATCTTTCCTAACCCCTGGCTGTGTGCCAGGCTAAACCCAAACCCTGCAGCCAAATTCCCTGTCAAAGCCAATCATCCTGTGGCTTGTCTCTATTATCTAAGTAAAGATATACAAGTCCAGAGAGGATGGGAAGGGAGAATTACCTGATCCAATGCAAACAGAGACTTCCTTTTCTATGCTAATGTTTTAATAGTTGTTCCAGAGAGAGGAATTTGTGAAGATGTTTGAATTCAGACTGTGCACAGGAACAAAATCTGATGCCCTTGCACTTGCATTTGTAACTCTGTTTAAGTAGTGCTCTCAGCCCTGCCCTCGTGGACCAGCAGATCAGCAGCACCATGAACCACCAGTCTCTGGGCTACTGAGAGTCAGAGCAGGCATTGCAAGGTATCCTAACCAGCATGTCCCTCACTGAGCTTGGAACAGCATGTTTCTGTGCTGCTTAAGGCTTTTGGTAGTTGAGCATACGTAGGCAGACTTGTCTGTGCAGTTTTGGACTTCCTGGCTCCCGTCACCTTGCACTTTACAAAATACCTGGCACGTGTATTAATAGCACAATGACAGATGGCCTGTTGCAGCTTATTTCTCTAATATGCTTCTTTTTATTGCTTGGTGTGGCTAATGGGAGAACTTGCGTAAAGCAATTTCAAGTTTATTGCTTACATCAGTTGCTGCAGAAGCCATCAACAGATGCTTGCATCACCCACACATTACACCTGCACTGGTTAAAATACTGTGGTGTGGCACCACAATTCCCCACCCCCTGACTTATTCTTCAGCTCTACTCCCATATGTTTCTAATTGCAGAGCAAGGTAAAGTATCTAATCACAAATGCCAACACTTCCCAGTGCTTCTACACTACACCAGCAGTGACCAGACACAAGGAATGCATGTTCTGCTTCTACCTTGAGGAGCCCTACAGGCACTGGTGAGCACACGATGCTGTCATGAGGCATCCTGGAGCCTCATGGTTGACTTGGTTCATCCTTCTTCTCACTTCACAGAAGGATAAATGACACCAAGAGATAACAGTAAACAAAATCCTAGACCTGATATTTTTTAATCACATTAAATTGGGAACACGCATTTAGTCTTATTAAGAATTTTATTCAGTCTAAAAATAGGTTTTTAAATATATTTCCAAGATTGACTAAAACATGAAAATTCTATGATCAGTGTTCAAAATAAGCTACGGTTTGTTATAACTGAGACCTATTCAGTGGAATATCATTTATCCAGACTTATACCATATAGGGAATCTTACAGCATCACCAGATCCCCAGCAGCATTTCAGAGCACTTCTGTGCCGCAGAACTGCAGTGTGTTTTGCTGTCCAGCAGAATCCTTCCCGTGAGAACACTGCTCAGGAGCAAGACCTGGACTTGGGGTGAGGAAGCTGTGAGGTTTTTTTGAGGTTTTTTTATCATTTTTTATGTTTTCTTATCAGCAATTGAAAACTTTCATAAATAGCCTTAAATAAGTATCTCAGAAGTTTTAAGAAGTTCACGCTGTCGGTCAGGTCTGACTAAACATCCTCTGGTCTCTCACTGCTTAAACTGTCTCCCTAATTATTCCAAATCAGAGAAGTCCTGACATCTCATACTGTAAGAGTAGTCCATATATTTTTGGTAAGAGTTAAGCTGCAGAGAAAGATTTGGCAGTTAAGTGAAATGCATGTTACAGCTGATGCTACATTTTTGTTTTTTTTTTTTTTTTCTATTGGAATAACTGAAAAGATTAAGCTGTAGTGCAGCTAGGGCTTGAGTCATGCTTTTATCATTGTAATCTCTCGGCCTGATACAAACTATGTTATTAAAAACAGTCGCTCAAGCTGATTCTGTACACTGTTTAAGTACAGCCAAGCTCTGCCAGGCAGCATTTAGCCTAGAACAAAACTGTGGTTTTGTGCTGTGTACATAGGGCTCTGCTAATTATTTTCAATCAGTGTCACAGTGATACTAATAGATTCCTTAACATGTCTTGAAAATAAAGCACTCCTATCTACACGTAAGGAGAAGCACTACGCAGAGCTGGTTAATACAGCTGTATTTTGCTTTAGCTTGCTCTTTCTGAAGAAGTGATTGATCGCCCCTTTACACTGCCAAAAGGAACTGCAGTACGCTCCCAAACCCTAGGCGTTAGGGGAGCCCAGCGTCAGCTTCGGTAGCGTGGGCACCTCTTTTCCTCGCTAGTTCTAAGCGATCAGCAGCTTTCGTGCCAGGGCTGTCCGCAGCGGAACGGGGGCTGCTGGCTCCCGGCAGCCCGAGCTCTCCGCCGTGCGCTGCCTTTGCAGCTCTGGGAAACCGTGCAGGGGCTGCGGGCTGCCCCGCGGCGTGGCGGGGGGCTTCGCTCGCGGCCAGCGCGCCTGCGATCTCCTGCGCTACGGTGCGGAGCGTCGGGAGCCGCGGAAGTAAAAGGCCCGGCACGAAAACCTTAAGAGCGAAGCAGGCGGCGGGATTTAAGGGACGAGCAAACCTAGACGTGAGCGAAACGCCAGCGCGCCGCGGCTTTCTCCTCCTAGGCCAGGAACGGCACGGAGCGGCGCGCCCGCTCTGTGCCTGCGGGGCGCCGCTTCCGACGCGTCCGCACCCCGGCGCCGCAGCTCCAAGCTCCGCACCGTCGGCCCCCCACCTGTCCCGCGGCCGGGCAGCGAGCGCGGCGCCGCGGGCGCTACACGAGGGACTCGCAGACGGGCACCGAGTCCGAGTCCTGGCTGTGCATGGAGCTCAGCCCCGTGTCCGAGTCCTCGTCGTTGTCGGCGCGGTCCTTGCGCATCCCCGGATCCGGCCAACCGCCCCCCGCCGCCCCGCGCGGCTCCGCCGCCGCCTCCGCCACGTCCAGGGTGCCCAGCGTCTCCAGCAGCCGCTGCAGCTCCCGCTCGCGGGCCTCCCAAACCCGCTGCGTGCAGTCCAGGTCGCTTTTGACGGCCTCTAGGTCCGTGCTGAGCTTGAGGCCGATGTAGAGGCTGGTGCTCAGCTGCGTCTTGACCCGCTCGTGCTCCAGCTGCAGCTCGCCCTCGCCGCCGCCGCTCAGCTCGGTGGTGTGGCAGTCCGCCTCGGCCAGGCCGGGCCCCGCCGCCAGCTCCAGCTCGTCCCGCCGCCGCTTCATCCAGCGCTCGTTGAGCTCCTCCTGGATCTCGGCGGCCAGGTGCTCCAGGAGCTCCTCCTGCTGCGCCCGCTGCTCCTGCAGCTGCAGCACCTCCTCGCACTTCCTGGCGTAGTCGTCCTCGGGGCGGCCGGCGGCGGGCTGCGCCTCCCGTCCCGGCTCCTCGCCGCCGGCGCCCACCAGGTAGGTGTCCTGCACGTAGTTGACGCCGTGCCGCTTCATGCGGTCCAGGTGGATCTTGGCCTCGTAGCGGTCGATCTCGCGGTCCAGCTCTCGCAGCCGCTGGATCTGCTGCCGGATGGTGTGGTCCTGCGAGAGCACCAGGTGCACCAGCGTCTCCATCCTCTCGGCCGAGGAGGCCTCCCGGGCCAGCGGCTGCTGCCGCTTCTTGTTGATCTTGGCCAGCTTGCGGAAGGCTTTCCGCACCACCCGCCGCTGCCGCTCCTGCGTGAGCGCCAGGCTGGCGCGGGCCGCCCCCAGGCCGTGGCCGGGCCGCTCCCTGCTCAGCACCACCCGCGCCTCGGCGCTGCGCGGACCCGCGTTGGGCAGCGAGGCCTCGCTGCGCACCAGCACGAAGCGCACGTTCTCCTGCTCGTCGCCCCACGCCACCCACAGCCGCAGGATCTTCGTCTTGTTGGGCAGGATGCGCTCGAACCCGCGCCACTTCTCCACGATGCAGTACGAGTGCGGCGGCCCCGACAGCATCCCGCCGCCGGGCTCGGGCGGCGCCGGCCGCTGCCGCCGGTGGTGGCTGTCCTCCAGCAGCACGCGCACCACGTCCGAGCAGGTGGTGCGCCGAGAAAGCCCCGAGATCAGCTTCTCTTCCTGGCAGATCCACACCGAGATCTTTCGCTCCTCGGGCTCCATCGGGGGCGGCGGCCGGCCGGCCGGGACCGCCGGTTCAGGGCTGGTCGTGCGGCCGCTCCGCGCGAGCGTTGGGCGGAGGCGCCGCGCCCGGCCGCAGCATGGCCGGGATGCCTCCCGCCCGCCTCCCCGCCCGTGCGCTCCGCCGGCCGCTCCACCCCTTCCTGCCCCGCGCCGCGCTCCGGTCCTCTCCGCTTCGCCCGGTGGGGCGGCCCCGCGCGGAGCCCGGCGCGGTGCGGAGTCCGGCGCTGTGCGGAGCCCTCCGCCGTCCGCGCTGTGCCGGGGCGCCGCCGCCGCCGGGTTTTCCTCAGCCACCACGTGGGCGCCCCCGGCGGCTCACGCCCCGGCGGGCAGCGCCGCCCCGGCACCCGCGTACGGCTCCGCGGGCGCGGAGAGGGAAAGGTAGGGCGCCGTGGCCTTTTCTTCTGGTGCTCGGCCCTGCCTCTGCTGCGAACGAGCCGCGTCGAGGGATCTTCCAAACTGCCGAGGGACAGGAGCGAGTCCCGGAGCTTCAAAGCGAAAGCCAGAACTAGTGAGGAATTTCCAGTTTTAGTAAATCATCTGCCTGTAATTAGGAAATTCATGTTTGCAAAGCGCTTTGCAGATGAAATATGCAAAGGACGGGAATGTCTAAGTGTTATTAAAATACTAGCCGAGCCAGATTTTAATGGGAGCTTGCTGTGTGCTTTGATGGGAACAGGATCTGTCTCCGAGTGTGGATTAAAATGAGGAGATGTACAAAGTGCTCATAAAACACGGGGTTGTGGCACTGATTTCGTGTGGCGATGCATCGCAGGGACTGGCAGAGCTTTGCTTTTCTATGTGTACAGAAGGCAGAGTAATGGACAAAGGGAGAAAACTCTTTAGAATGTGGAAAGTGATCTTTATGTGCTGGGGGATTTCAGAGCCAGTAAACCATTCCCCAATCAGTGGGATAGGACGAGTCACAGCAATCTGCCTTACAGATGAAACACTGCAGAGGGATTTGAAACAGTCCTGGCAGCCCAGCAGCTGCCTTCCTCCCCCTGTGTATGAGCTCGAGCTGCTGTGCCAACTTCACTCCTGTTTGCTGGGAAGATGTGGTTCCAGGGAAGAGCCTGTGCTGTGCACCAGCTATGTAAGGCAGCTTGGTATGGTGATGGTTCTGCAGTGCAGGCTCCTGCCCAGTGAGGAAGTGGGCTGAGGGTTCTGGCATGCCTGCAGCTGAAGGTCATGCAGATCGTGTGCTGGCTGCTGACGTCCCTTTCTTGACTATTCCAGATTAAAGAGTTCCATGGCCACTGTGTGTTGAATAAGGGCATGCGAGATAGGGGTGTCAGCACCAGGCTGACTTTGCTTCCTAATACCAGTCACCCTACAGTAAGGGTACAAATCCCTCTCCCATGATCAAGTTTGCTGCTGCTGATTTCAGGGGCTTCAATGTGTCTGAGGTGCTGGATCTGTATGCTTTTGTTGTTTGCTGATGAAAGTCCATTCCTGAGGTGAAAACAGCCTTTTTGTCCTGTGTGTTGGTTGTGCCTGAAAGCATCCTTGGCTCCTGCTTGGCAGAGGGGAACATACCAACTTCAGGACAAACCCAAGAGCTCTCATTGCCCCAAAATGGGATGGGGTTGAGCAGGAAGGGGGCAAAAAAATGGGACTGTATGCCTTGGCTTTGCCTCTGAAAGGCTCAAGATGAAAAAAAATGCAGGAGAATAGGAAAAGAAGAGCATTACTGCTCTCATCCAGCCACTGTTCCTTGTTATCTGCTATAGTGATAGATGCTACAAGAGAAAGGGTTAACTAGGCAGTAAGAAACTATCTGACTTCTTTAGTGGACATTCCTTGCCTTACCCATTTCATTTTGATCTCTCTCATTTTATGTGTATTTCCTATGGGAACGTCTGTACCTACTTCGTTCTGGCAAAGGACAATAAAGGAAGGGCAGGGTGCAATGCAAAGACCCAACCTCTGCTCCCCACCGGTCAAGCTGCTCCAGCTTGTCTGACTGCCTGTATCTATCCGGCACCCAAGCCTGTCTTTGTGCCATGAAATTGGAAGGTGGTTGTTCCATCTTCCCCTGACCACAGCTCTGTGTGCAGAAAACTGGCTCTGCCTCCCTGGCAAAGCCCCTAGGGCAGCTCTGCTGGAGATAGGATGAAGGTGTGGGCAGTTTGGTTGGAGGCGGTGAGATTAAGGAGGCAAACACTCGAGTTCAGTAGTATAAGCCTATCAGATGTGTATTTATAATCCGTGGTTAAAAGGTTGGCACTGGAAATTTGTGATGTTAGATCTTAAGTTTAACCCTCAGGAATTTTATTTCAGTCTGCCTGCAGACTCAGGAAAACACCACCAAAGATTCCAAAGTTAGAGAGCTTAAACACATAAGCACCCTAAGCATTTAAGCACCTATCTGGAGATTTGGGCTGAATCCTGACAGGCAATGGAGCAGAGGTAGCCCTTTGTTTCCATCCTGGGATCTCTGAGCATCCTACAGGGAAGGCTACCATTGTTACCTCATTTTTACAGATAAGAATGCCTGGTATAAAGGAGTCCAGTGCCTTGCCTAAGGTCATATAGCAAGGCAGCAGCAGTGTCATGAAGCACGCTGCATTTCTTCACCCTGGTGACTTCAGTCACCAAACCTGACTGTCTAGAAGTGCTCTGCCTCCTTGCTTTCTTCCTCTCCCTTTAATTATTCAATTAGAAAGGTGGATGCAGAAGGTTCTGCGTTAGTTCCACAAATACAGACAGTGATAAAATGGAAGTGCAAGGTTAACAATATATTCTATCTCTTATGGGGTGATGGAAGGCAGTGGCATGCAAGCTTCTTCCAGCATCTCTTTTTTGGTGTATTCATCTCCTTCTTCAGCTGATGGTGCCTGCATGCTTGCAGGCCTCACTGGTGGGATGTGCTGAGGTGGTGTCATCACAAAGTCAAATGGAAGAGAAGGGCAGCTGCTTGTCTCTGCTCTCAGCCCGTTACAGAGCAATGGTATATAATACCTAGGTCTTCTCTAATAAACATCACCAATTTAAAATGTAAAAGGTGATAAGCATGATCTTCTGTAATACAGAGGCTATTTGTGTAGTACTTTGAGGTGTGCAAGTAAATTCCCATGACTTTTGCAATAAAACCAGCATCCCCTATTATAGGGCTGCATAGTGAGGTGTCTGTTTTGTTGTTGTTTGTGGCAGGTTGCTGAGTTGCCAGAATGAAATTGCAGCCCTGATATTTTCAATAAATAAAATGATGCAAGAACTGAATAGTTGCAACCTAAAAGAAAGGGATAAACATTTATTTCCTGCTTCCAAATTTTATACAGTAGGAAAGAGGAGGAAGTCTTAAAAAACTGTGTTTGAGACACAGAATTCACTTAATTTTGAAATTTAGGTGGAAAAAAGAGTAAGGATTTGGATTCCGGGTATTTTTTTCTTTTTCCACATAGAAGTTGCTTTTACTTTTTAGATCACTCTCAGGACAATTTACTTGTTTTTCCTGAGGTTACAGTTCAAAAGAATACAGCCTAAGTATGATGAGTAAAGGCAGGCTGCAACTGGTAATCTATTGAGCCATCACTGTCTGGTGAAGTTACTCTTTGTTGTGATCCTGAGCAGCAACACTGCTTTCCTGGCTTCTCTTCCTGTGTTCTTGTTAATCCTATTTTGTGAGGTTTAGCTGCTGGTCACTTATATTTGTTGCTTCCTAATGTTTCTGTCTCAATAAATAGGAACATAATTTGCCCGTTAGTGAAATCTCTAGCAGCCTGCTCATCTTTACAGCTGTGTAAGTAGTGAAAAGGACTACCTGAGCTTACAGACCACTTTCTCATGGATGCTTTCTTCTTTTGTTCCTCATTTTTCCTGAAAGTAAAAAGCTGAATAACCAAATCATATTGTGAATAACCAAATCAGCATGCATGGAATGAAGGGTTTGAACAACTCCCTCTATTAGCAGGAATATTCAGATTTCAGTCAAAACAGCTTGTAGCCTTAGACTTTCTTTTGAAAAGGGAAGCTTGTCAAAGTTACAGATGCAGCTGATCAACTTTAGATGTGACAGAAATCTGTTGGGTTTTGTTCAGGTTTGGTACTGAAGCCGCTGATGGAACTGTTGGTTTTGGTAAAGATGACTTTTACAAGGAGTAGTGATCTCCCAGTCTCATTCTGTAAGCTATAAGCTCTATGAACTCTTGGTTGGCTTCTTGCAGCTTCTTTCATCTTGTGTGTACTTCCTTGCTTCTCAGTGCCCTGTATGCAACCAGTATAGTAAACACAACACACGGTAATTCTTTGCTTCACATTGCCAGCAGGACATGCTTGTGTGATCCCTTTGGGGAGACTGTGGTGCAGCCTGTTTGAATAATGGCTGCTGATGCTGAGTTATACCGCTTTGACAAGTTTATCCAACTTTTTGTTTTATGCACTCACACCCAAACTACAAAAAGGGTATGTTGGGAGAAACTGTCTTCCAGTGAAATAAGTGGGGGCTGCACAGGTAAATCCCTCTGCAGCACTTTGAAAAATGCAGGTATGTGTGTAGGCTACCATTAAAGAAAATTAGAATGACGTATATTATATTACAGTACAGCCTGGAAGTCTCGATGTGCTAGATGTAATGTGAACGCATGGAAAGAGACCATCCCTGCCTTGAAGGCTTAACCAATGTCACACTGTAGATTAGGGGCACAGCAAAGATCAGAACCAGGAAAATACAGATTTCCAGCTTCTAATCTTTGAACCAAATCTTTACCAACTGGCTTTTACTTCTTTGTCGAGTCACGTGCCTGTGACTCTTAGGATGCAATGCAATCCCTTTCCCTTTAAACACTGAAGATTTTCTTTTCTTGCTGGCTGCTATTTAGCATAAATGAAGAACAAAAATAATTGAAGAGAGCAGTTTTGTTTTTTTTTCCTTACAGTGTGCATAATAGATATATCTGAAGTTTGATTCAGTGAAATTGCACTAATGTACTTTGGGGGAACACATGAGAAAGATCTGACTGAAGTAACGCTTACACCTTTCCTTCTCCAAAAATGTGAAATGTATTTGAATACAGCTTTGTACTACTTTAATAGCTTAGTTGTAGCTTGAATACTTAGTCTTCATTGGTATTCATTGAATACTTAGCCTTCATATGAATCAAGTGTTAGGTGTAGTGATATTCCTCGACATGCAAATAGGATAATTTTAATTATTTAGTGCATATATTTGATTTGTTTTTGTGTTAGTCAGTTCTCTCATCCCTTGAGAAAATGTCTCAGT